AAGATACAATATAGGGAGCAGTACCAGCAGAGGAGATTCTCGGGGAAACCAATCAGTGGAATGGTATGTCGAGACAAGGCCGTGGAAGAAAGTACTCTCTACCTCTAGCACTGGGAGTGTCAATGATGGGTCTAAAAGTGATTTAATAAATGCTCTGCAGAAAGGCTCACAACTACGATTAGTTATTCATGAAGCAGAAAAGTCATACAGTATCGTAGAGGCAGATAACATTGAAATTGAAGGAAATGAAGTTGCAGCCCAGTCGATTCGATACATCAATGATGAGAACGGGGAAGGGGGGATTCCAAGACAATTTAAAAAGCCTCTGTTTTGGAAATTTACTTTAACAGTAACAGACGGAAATAGAAGATCTGTCTTCTGGAAGGTTGGGGAACATACATCTCTCCCGAGTTTAGTGACCAGAAATGCTGTAGACTGGATTGTTGGTTAAATGCCAATTAAAAGATCATAATGTGGATTTTAATGAACATCTTTACCATTTCAGCATATTCTAAAAATTTTGTTTGTCTGTTGTAGTCATATATTGGAAATGGGAATGTGTGGATGCTTATCATGTTCGAAATTGCATTGATTATTTTGAACAATATATATTAAAAATAAATCATGAGATAATTTATTTATTGCTTTTATTTTTTATCTTTACCTTTCTATATGAATTCAAAAATTTTCAAAAGGGATGTTAAACAACACATAATCAATCAGTCCTATACAAATGCATAAGGTAACTAGAGTTCATATCTCATTGATTCCAGTTCTAGACCCGAAACCAATGAAATGATAACTATCTAGCCCAAGTTTTGTCAAGGCTTAAGTTTGTTTAGAGAAATGAATCATATCACAAAACTTTCACAATGTGAAAATGAATTTACATTTATTTGTTAACCAAGCTGAGAATCATGAATACAGAGTATCAAAATTATTCGACCAGATGAATTAACAACTTTCAACAGCAATACAGAAAATTTTCCTTAAGGTTGAATTCGCATCAAATGTATTCGGAGGGGGAAACACATATACACATTTTGACAATAAAAAGTTTTATAACTTATAGCTCTTTTATCTTTAATGTTCCAAACCGTCTCCCACCAATTTCTAGAGTTATTAAATTTGAATTATTAAAAGGGACACCCCTCCAAAACAAGGACCTCTCATCAAATGGTTGAGACAATAATGTTTCTGAAGAAATTTGACTAAAGAAAGTGAAATGTTACGTAAAAGGACTCGGTTCACTTTTTGTCATATTTTGCCATGCGAGAAAACTAATTATTTCTTATTTATTTTATTACTTTAGAATATTGGCTTTCAGAAAATTATCACTTTTTTGTGTTTTTGTTGAATTTTTGCAATTATGGTTTTTTTTTAACATCAGTTAATTATTTTATAAAGCATGTCATACTTTCAAACAAACATTGATTTTCTATAAAAAGGTAGGGTCTATGTTATTTTTATTTGCAAATATGATACCAAAACAAACTTTATTTTTATTGATATTTGAGGGCCAAATAACTCATGAAGTGAACTGAGTTCTTTATCCGACATTTACAAGTATATACTAGTAATTGTTTGTGTGGAATCCACCCACTTCCTGACATCAGAAAGAATCCTTGACCGGATTTCGATCATTTATTTAAAAGAATTTCATTGAAAATTAGAAAGTTGAAGTGCCTTCACTGTTTTCTTTCATAAGATAAGAACTGATTAAAAAGGGAAAATATCTTAAACGAGCAAGCTATTGATAAATAAGTTGATGAAGCAAGGATATCAACAGTCTTGAAGTCATTATTCAATTCATATTTATTGTTGTTACTTGTCGTTACAACGAAACTGATGATATTTTTGTTTCCTTAACTTGTTTGTCAATAACCTATTACGTTTTAGAACTTGTTCATATGTAGAACATTCTCTTCCGTATTGATTCAACTGAGAGATATAAACACTCTGTATGCAAGGAACAAAACTATATTGCTGCATAAGAAAAGGATCTTGGCGATTGAAAAGTTATGGTCGCCACGTTTAAGAAAGTATTTTTTTTCAATTACCAATGACAAGTATGTAATTTATGGTATGCTATTTTTATTGAAAAAAAGCTTAATATGTCGCAATTGATTCGATACGCAAGAGCATGCTCTACGTATGAACAATTTTTAATACTAAATTATTGACAAACAAGTTGATGAAAAGAGGCTTTTTTATGATTTTGGTATTTTACGTGCCAGGAAAACGTCAGAATTATGATATTGAATAATATAATTCGTTTTCTTCATATCCTTCAATCTATGATGTTAAAAGATTGGAAATGTTGAAAAGCCGTGGGTTTGGGTTATATTGACTTTGGTAAAATTCTGTTATTTTCAATACTAGTACTTTATCCACTTTTTAAATTCACTGTCATTATTTAAGAGAACTCATGACGTCTTCCCTGTACAATATATTTTGACGAGGAGTAAAGACTTAGTAGAGCATTTAATGAAACCAGCTACGTATCTTTGTTTGCAATGATTTTTATAAGGAAATTGAGAAATCCAAATAGGTAAAATGGTTCATATTCAACATTTAATTGGTGTTAATATTAAAAATATTTAAACATAGTACCTGACAAAATTTATTTTTGTAAAAGAATTTCTCATTAGAAAGGAAACATTGAGTACAAGTTGAATTGATGGAATGTTTTTTTAGTACAAGTATATACTAGTAAGTTGCAATTTCTTATTTTTTTTATATATACAAATGGAATTTGTCGTACAAATTCATTAAATTGCTTAAAAAGAAATTGTACCATAAATTTATTCTAAAATTTACGAATTGCACGATTTACTTTTACCAAGCTGTAAAATCTGTTAACATTTTCCATACATACATAAATTAAAGTTATGATTTTGACATTTTTTCTGGAGATTGTTCTGGAATTTTATACGCGTACCTTTATAAACCAGTTTTTTTGGTTACCCATTTGCATCAGATATTTATAATAACCACTGAAAATCACCTGTTATTGACAAATTGATTGATAAATACATTGTACAATGCATCATTTAACAAAATATTCCAACAAATACAAAGTTAGGGATAAATAATTACAGTTTACATTTTATTTCAAACGGTTGGTCCATCGTATAACTAACTAGTATATTCACCGTTCCCGCAGGTCAAGCTGACCCTCCCCACCATCTTTAGAGAAAATAAATGTAGAATATGATTGTAAATGATTTTAAACGTTTGACTTTCAATGTTTACAAACATCAAAGTAGATGTATTAATGTTTTTCAAAGACTAAAGGAAGGAAAATATATCCAAATATTGAAGAATATATGCTACAATGTAATCTACAAAAAAGGACAAGTGTTTCAAAAACGTACATACCTGTTCATATCATACTAATGCACAGTCACTGAGTGCAGATTAAATACACGGTAAGGTAGTCCATTCTGACATTTTTACAAAACATATCTCCTAAAATGAATGGATTACTGTATGTGTACTTAAAATAGCGGGCTTTAAATTTTAGCGGCTTTGGCGTAGACGGGGATGCGCCAATTCATGGATACCGCTAAAAATATTCAAATAGAATACTGTAGATCACTAAATTTTCGCGACACCTTATTTTCGCGAGATAGTCATTGACTCTTTATTAGCGGGACATAATTTTCACGAATTGTTGTTTTTCCTCTGTATAACACTAAGTGATACTTTTAAACGCGAGAATCAAATTTTCGCGAACTCATTGTCTCGCGTAATTACGCCAAAATAAAGTTCTCGCGAATAAAACGTGATTTACAGTATACGGCACGAACATGTGAAGCGCTAATTCATGATTACGCCAACAACTCCATACCCACTGATTGCGCTAAATTTTGAATACGCCAAATTATGTACACGTACAGTATATAAATTCAATGTTTTTCAAGCAATATAAAATGCCTTTGTTGTCTGTGTCCGCGGGGATAAACCATCAACCATTACAATGAACTACATGTATATAGCTATTCTGGATTCTATAGATTGATTAGATCATTTTACTTGTTGTTTCAAAACAGCTATCATTACATAAAATATGATTAGAAAAATATAATCGTTTCATATAATTATCAACACAGTATAGAGATTCTACACGTAACTTGGTTACAGCTGCGCCTTTTAAAATGATCAAATAGATATGCAAACTACAACATAGTAACATTTCCTTACCGCTTTTAGAACATTGACAGGAAATCATTTCTAAGATTAGCTCGAAAAAACTTGCAAATTATATCCACCTTATAATTGTTTTCTGGTACATTTATCACAAGTCTTTAGTGGTAGGAATATTAAATGAAATAGTGAATATGGTTTGTTGTTCAACAGAAAAATACTCATATTGACCGAGGCAAAGCATAAATGAATTCAATCAAATTCTGAATAATGATGAGCTGTTTTTAACATCATAATTACTTTCACTCACAGGCACTTACTAGCTTACATACAAACGCTTTCCTTAGATAATAGCAATGACAAAATGGTCAAAACAGATCTATTATAGTACATATGTACGTAAATACAACTTTACTTAAAATATATATTTACTACTCTATGAAAATTAATAGACACATTAATAACATCCTAAATATGATAGCAAATAATATAACAATTTTAAGCTCATTGAAATATTAGTTTTCAATTTTTTTCTTTACGCGTATTGGACATGTACTTATTTTCGGAGACTTTGAACCAAATATTGTACATTTATTGCAAAAAAATGGACAAGTATGATATTTAAAACAACGCAAAATGGAGAAGAAATATATCAACAGTAAACTGAACATTATTTAACTTGTTGATTCAAAAACATCTGCCATTACGGGAAAATATTACACTTAATGTCTTAAATCCATAAAATAAATTGTAAAAATGATAGGGATTCGGTTCGAACAGTGGTAACATGTGTGACTTTTAATATCTATTTAAATAACAATTAAGAAACAGTCAGAACATTCATGGGAAATCACAGCCAAACTAAGCATGAATGAACTTGCAAACTGCATTCTCCATATTGTTTTACTCGTTTCCCTTGGCCAGGCTTGTAGCGGTAAGACAATAATAAGACTTTTTTATTCGTAAGCATAGCATGATATATATGATCAACTATCTTTTTAATATTCGCCTATGTTAAAAAGTATGAGTTAATTTTTTCAAACTTTTATTTACAAGCATTAGCATTGCTGTTTTCTGGAAAAATATCTACTCCTGGTAGCTTATACTGACTACTTTTCATTTCCATATATAGACTGCAACGAAAAATGGACAACAGTTTTAAAAACGGGGAAAAGAGGAGAAGAATTGTATGGTAAAAAGAGAGATCTTGTGGACCATGTATTGAGCGGAAGTGACATTCGGTTTTCTTTAGATGACGGGTCGTACTTGTCTTCCATTCAATCTGTATCCCTGTCAGGAGATGAGAATATCTGTGTGCAAGCCTTGTTCAGTGTTAGTAAAAATGGACCATTTAATTTTCAAAGTAATGCCTACTGGTGGTTTCTCGTAGTATGTACAACAGGTCATACTCATATGTCTAGATGGTCAGTTGGAGCTCACGTGGACAGAGGCCAGACTAAAACCACCTATGCTGTAACATGGTTTGCAAGGTATACATGTTAATTAGTGATATTATTAGTTATGTAGACACTTAGAGGGGTAATACCGAAATATGTGGGGTCCTTGAGAAAATCTATATTAGGCAAGGCGTAAGCAGAGCCCAATAAGTATTTTTTCAAGGACCCCACATATATCCGTATTACCGCTCTAAGTGTTTACATAACGAATTTATCCTGCCGATGGTTCTCTAAAAGACAAAATATTTATAGTATCTATAAACCGCTTTCACTGAGCGTCCAAGCAAGACGCTCTGTATCCATTGTTGTCGTCAGACGCATTGTGACGTCAGTTATGAAGCTCCATGCGGGTTACGTGAAAGCAGTATATTGATGATGTGCGGTTTGTAAATTTTTAATATATGTTGGGTAGGTCACGTGGAGGGGGCACATTAGCAATGTGTGGTGGATATACAGCATAACATCGTTATAGGCAGTATTGCTCTCGACCAATGAAATTTCAAGATTTTTATCAGAGGCAGGATAATCTCTCTTATAGAGTCATCAAATCTTTGTATTTAATAAGTAGGCTTGTAAAGCTTATCGCTAAACTTTACCCATTGCTCTTTTTTTCAGGAATTATTCAATTTCATTTTTTATGTTCTTACAGAAAATTAAGTTGTCAGACACAACCGTCGTACTGTAATCAGCGGTCTGGTTCGAAAGAATGTAGCGATATATTTGTGCTGACTGAAGGCATGCAAAATGGCGCAGGATTCAAAGCTGTTAATTTAAATAGTCGTTACGTTTCAGACTTTACAAATGTTCAACTTTCAAATAATGGGCAATCTTTGGCTGGACAGTACCCTTGGCATGTCAGTCAAACTTATGTAGGTAACCATATTGAATTTCAACCAAATGCCTATTGGTGGGCCACCATATGGTCTACAACAGGTCGTCTAGAGATGTCACGATGGAATGTCGGAGAGCACGTTAGCCGAGGACATACGAATGAAAATACCCCGATGCAGTGGTTTGTTGATAACTGTTGGACTTTAGCATATAGCCACAATCAGGGTGGACAGAGGCTGGATGGATCCCTAGATTTTCTCGTAGGGGCGGTGTTATCTGGAAGAAGAGTAAGGATAAAGATGGGAGATACATACTTGGTTAACACAGACAATCTGTATGTAAGAAACGGTCATGTTTCTGCCCAGCTTTTAGGTCATTTATCAAAAGGTGGTGCATTTTCCTTTCAATCCGACGTTTATTGGTACTGGCAAATGGCCTCAACAACGGGACATGTAGAAACAATCAGATACAATATAGGTAGCAGCAACAGCAGAGGAGGTTCTCGAGGAAACCAAGCAATGGAATGGTATGTTGAAACAAGGCCGTGGAAGAAAGTACTCTCTACCTCTAGCACTGGGAGTGTCAATGATGGGTCTAAAAGTGATTTAATAAATGCTCTGCAGAAAGGCTCACAACTACGATTAGTTATTCAGGAAGCAGAAAAGTCATACAGTATCGTAGAGGCAGATAACATTGCTATTGAAGGAAATGAAGTTGCAGCCCAGTCGATTCGATACATCAACGATGAAGACGGGGCAGGGGGTATTCCAAGACGATTCAAAGAGCCACCGTTTTGGAAATTTACTTTAACAGTAACAGACGGAAATCGAAGAGCTGTCTTCTGGAAGGTTGGGGAACATACATCTCTCCCCAGTTCAGTGACCAAACATTCTGTAGACTGGATTGTTGGTTGAATACCAAAAAAAAAAGATCTTGGGTTTTACCAAAGATCTACAGTATTCTACAAATTTTGTTTGTCTATTCTTGTCATATGTGGGAAATGGGAATGTTTGGACGCTTATCATGTTTTAACTCCAATTGATTATTGTGAACAATATACATCAAAATTAATCATTAGATAATTTATTTATTGCATTTATTTATTTTCTTTTCCTCTCTTTATGAATGACAAATTTCCAAATGGAACGTAAAACAATTAAGGAATGTTTTTTAGTTTTGTGTGAGTTATTGGTGTGTGAATCACACAGACTTGTCACGTAGGCATATTTCATGAAGCGCGCTAGCGCTTCATGAAAAATATGCCTATGTGCAAGTCAGTGTGATTCACACACCAATAATTCACAGTAAACTGGAAAAAAATTCCTTATATTTACATTTTACCTGTTTGGAGGTAACTAAAATATACTCAATATTTGAATTTCTCGCTGTCCTATATTATTGCATTTTACTAACGTCGCCGCAGTCTCATTTTGACGTCACGTTAACGCACGTTCCTCCTAGTATATTTCTACGCATGAGTATACACGAAAATGTTTTTCAAATCAATTTCACAGTAAGCTTACTAGAAAAACACAGCGAATGTAAATATTACATTTATTTGTTTACCAAGCAGATAATCATTAATACAGAGTATAATTATCTAAGTGGGATTGACCAGAAGTTTTTAAATAAAACATGAAGATAACGAACAGTATTCAAAATCAAAAGTCCATAAAACAATACAGAAGTACAGTAATCACCTCCAAAACATCAGAGGTGGGATCAGCTGCCATCCGATCGGTCACATCCGCCGTGTGCTGCTTGTTATGACCGGGAAATAACGGGAAAATCCGTCGTCAATTCCGTGTATAAATAATGCACTAACAATTAGTATGAAAAACGTCAGTCAGCATTTGACTCAATGATAAATTGAATTTGTTGACAAAGTCATTGTATCTACCATAGAGCTTACGAAATGATGACTTTAAACGAAACTGCTGATATTCTTGTTCCATCAACTTGTTGTCAATAATTTACCTCGTTAAAAAAATGTTCATACCTAGAGCATGCTCTTGCGTATTGAATAAACTGAGATACATAAACTTCGTAAGCAGGTGATAAAGTTATATTGCTACGTAAGTAAGGGAAGTTGGCGATAGAAAAGTTAGTCAACACGTTTATCATTGAGACTGGTTGTTAAATTACAATTAACGTCTTCTTCATGTAAAATATCTTAATATGAAACGAATATATCAGATTCTGTCCTATCTTTTATCTCAAGTTCACCAGGATATATCATATCGACATAAGAATGGAAATTACAATTGTTAATTGGCAATAGGTCGTCGATATATTATCTGAAGGCCATAACAAGTGTTTTCTTCCTTTCACGCATAATATTTTGCACAAATTGTGCTTCATGTGAATACAAAAATTGGTCTGCTAATAACGGAGCGCAATTGGTACCTATGGGAATTCCAAAAGATTGTTGGAAGTCCTGGTCTCCAAAGATAATATAGATATTGTCAATCAGAAACACAAGCATCTTTTTTATGTCGACTCCAGAGTACTTGTGTGTACAATCAGAATGGTTTCAACAAAATAATTTTGCAAATGACCAGTGACAAGGTAAGTTAATTTACGAGTTCCATTTTAATTGAAAAAGCAGCTATCAGTGATATCAAAACGCCTAGACTTTAATTTGTCGATGGGAATAGCTGTGAATAAAGTGGAAAAGTCGTAAGTTTTCATCTGTTGATTTTGGTAAAATCTTGTGATTTCAAATTGTCCAGATTTTCGTAAAATCTTGTAATTTTCAAATTGTCCAAAAGTTCCTTAGAATTTTATGTATTTACAACTGATTTATACCACTTCTTGAGTATATTGTTCCACAGTACTCTTGATGTTTCTCCTTCAGTACTACTAATAGAGGAGTAAAAAGAGGCTTGGTTGAACATTTACTGGAACCCGCTACATGTATGTATCTTTGTTTGTAGGGATTCTTATGAAGTTTTCGGATCCAATACATATATGACAGTTCAAAATCATTTTGGTTCGTTGGAATATTAAAAATATTCAAAACCGACATATTATTTTGAAGAATTTCCTTTTTAGAAAGGAAATTATGAGTATAAGTTGGATTTCCACTTGTAGACCTAAATCCAAGTTCTTCTAAAATACAATTCATATAACGAGCCTTACAAACAAAGAGAGTGTTGTTAAAACGATAAAGTAACAACTTTTAACATAAATACAGATAATTGTCCAGAGGATTGAATTCTCATTACGTGTATTGAGATTGGGAAAAATACATATACACATTTTAACGGTAAAAAATTCTATAACTTAGCTCATTTATCCTAAATGTTCCGAACCTTCTCGCCCGATTTCTAGAGTTATTGAATTTGAAATGTTAAAAGGAACACATTAACATCCCCCTCCAAAACAAGGACCTCTCGTCAAATGGTAGAGAAAATCATGGATCTGCATGAAGAAAATTGACAAAAGAAAATGAATAGTTCCACCCTCCCCATGCGTAATTTATCCGACATTTACAACTATATACCAGCAATTGTTGGTGTGGAATCCACCCACTTTTTGACATAATAAATAACCTTAGACTTGGGCTTGATCAATTGATTTTTAAAAATAATTTCACTGAAAATTTGAAAGTTTAAGTGCCTTCACTTTTTTCCTTTCATAAGATAAAAGATAAGAGCTAATTAAGGATGTACAACACACCTACCCCAAAAAATTCCTGTCGTTTAATTTTCGTTATTTTTGTATATTTAGTACATGACTATATCTACTGCATGTATGCACATTTTGAACAAAATCGTTCGAATGGTTTTTGGACAGGAAATTCCAAAAGTTACCCCCCTTTAGTTGTTTACAAGGCGAGAAAATTTTTAATCAATGAACTACTTAAACCTCGATTTTCAAAAAAGCCAGGTTAGATATAAATGTCAAATTTCATTGACTTATTCCTTTAACCATTTAACACAAAAACACAGTAATCTTTTTGATATATATATCATCAAAACAATTTTTAAAGACCTTAAACTGAAAAACTATGAATTATCTAAGCCTTGAAAATTGTGTACTAGTATTTTTCAAATTTAAAATTTTTTTGTGAAAAAACCCGTCGTTTAATTTTGGTAAAAAACTTTCTTTAGGTAGCTGATAGTAAAAATAATCTTCATAATTTTTTGTATAATTTTCGTACGACCAGTTTTGATTTATTAGCGGAAAATTAACCCCTCCCCCTTTCTCAATAAATCACGTTCCCGCGCGTCTTTCAGACGGGGGTCGATCACGTTGCTATGAATCTACAAATACACATTTAAAAAAAAATCAAATTGAAATATAGAGTTATTGCTCTTACCATTCTAATAAAAGATACTCAAAGATAGCTACGTGCATTGTTATTTTTCTTTTTTCAATAGCTATATGGTGTCTCCAAAAATTTAGACCAAAGTTTCATTAATGAAGAATACTAGATTTAAACAATCAATCACAGGGGCAAGACTCTTTATAACCCTTTCATGCCTTTTTATACAGTAAATAAAGGAACCTCGACAAAGATTTGATGTTTATATTTTCTTCACATTTTCAATATAATATAATATAACAGGGGCGTAGTATCCGGGGGGGCCAGGGGGCGCCTGGCCCCCCACTTTTTTCCCAACCTTACTTACACTATAGGAAATGTTAATTCAAAGCCTGTTTGGCCCCTCCACTTTTAGAAATGTACCCAAAATGTAGTATAAGAATTGGTACTAAAAGTAGTTGACACTGAAGAAAAGTTTCCCCACGAAATAGGATTTTCGACTTCGGGGAACTTTTTCCTTTTTTTTTTTTTTTGCTTGTCAACTTTTTCAGGTAAGTAAAAAAAAATTTTTTTTCTCCCCCCCCCCCCCCCACTTTCAAAAACGATGCTACGCCACTGTATAATATGACTTTAGTTTTGTTTCTATTCAGAAATATTTTTATAAAAGAGTGTTTACAAACTACGTACATGTAAGTCTATTTAGATACCATCAAAACACACTTTTGAATTCTCTACATAACAAAATATCGAACTGCAATAATGATTCAGAAAATTTTACATGAGGAAAAGAAAACACTTTTTCTGGCCTTTAACTCGATATTTCAATATATCGATGACGTACTATCCATTAACAATATTTCCTTTTATTCATATTTTTCCGCCACGATATATCACAGTAAGCTGAAATATGATTGATTCATTGTTATTGTTTAACGCCGGATCGGCAATATTTCAGCCATATTTCGGCGGGTAAGCTGAATTAAAAGATACCACAGAGTCTGAAAAGTTTTATTGATATTTAGACATTTTTATACAAAAAACTTAATGGTAGAATAAAAACGAAACTATATGATAAATCAACGTGATGACTTTCTTTTCGATCGTCAACATCTCTTACTTATTTTTCAATATACCATTATCACTTGCCTATATGTGGTTTATTTCTCTCCGTTGATTTGAAACGCGAGAGAAAAATGGCTAGAATTAATGATAAATTTTATTTGCTAATAAGTTCATTGTATCAACCATTTAACTTCCGAAATAATAAAACTGCTGCTATTCTTGCATCATCAACTTCTTTGTCAGTAACTTACCTTGTTTTAGAAATTGTTCCTATGTAGAACATGCTCTTCTTTATCAAATCAACTGAGAGATATAAATTCTGTACGCAGGTTACAAAGGGACACGATGAAATGGTTTAGTAAAAGTATATTAGTTGCTATTTCTTATTTTGTATATATACGAAGGAGTTCATTTAATTGCTTTAAAAGAAATTGTAACATCAATTTTTACTAAAATTTACGAATTGCTGCATTCATTTTGTTTATATTTTTATTTCTTTTTTCCAAATCCATATAATCTGTTTTAACTTTTCCCATTCTTTGATTACCATTTCAACTGGAAATAAAAGATAACAGAGAGGCTGACAATTC